CTGCAGTGCCAGTGCAGGCTTCCCAATGCTGGGGGGGAGCCCTGAGCCTTTGGGGCAGGATCCAGGCAAGCTGGGGGCCACATCTGGCCCCCAAGTCTTAGATTTCCCATTCCCAGTCTAGCAAAATAGGGATACATAGAATCCTAGAACTGGAAGGGACCTCAAGAGGTCAAGTCCAGTCCCCTGCCCTCACGGCAGGACATTCCCAAGGCCACCTGTGTTCAACTCATTCTCACCTTTCTGAACTGTCACTTGATGGATGTAAGCAGTCGTCCCATCCTCAAGCTCAATCACTTGCCCTTCAAGCAGCTTCTCTCCTGCAACAGAAAACCATCATGGCTGCCCGCCGTGTTTCCAGTACACTGGGCGGTTCCCATTTCTTCACAACCCCTTTGCTATGTCGCCTGAAGAGAAATCTCACAGGATCACAATCTCCACAGGAGAGCGTTACTTTGTCAATCCCTATTTGGATTTAGAACCAGAGTAATGGGCACACTCATGAATACCATAGGGAAGATTAAACCTCCCTTTCCTACATTGTCTGTATGGAGGAAACGGGCCAAGGCGACCTCAACCCATCACTGACCGGATACAGGAGACTTTTGCCAGCTCTCTTTACCATGTAAACAAATGAAGTAAATGGAACAAAAGCAAATACGGCAGCCGACAGGGTCCCACAATGGCATAAATGAGGGACAAAGTGCCTTTGTGTCTTTACTGGGTCAAGGACCAATTCTTAGAAAAAAATGTGTCCAGATCCCGAAGCACCGACTGCCTCCACCCTTGGCAGGCAGTGAGAAATGGAACATTGCAATCACGTAATTAGGATTAACATCTTGCTTCTGAAATATATTTCTAGCTGTGATGTTTTAGTAACTTACAGAATCCCATTCTACTTTCAGACAGTGCAAAGCATTTGGGCTAGAGCCATAGAGCCGAGGGATGGGGAACTTACATCCCGGTCCCTGGCTTGCTTTGATCTGACTCATGAGGCTCAGGGCTCCTCCCCTAGCAGCCTGGCAGTCCAGTGCTGGTGCTTTAGCCATGAGGGAGGACACTGAGGCACAGTATCCCCCACGTGGCTGCACAGCACGTGCTCAGCCGAGGTAGGAGGAGCCCCAAGCCTCGCAGGCTGGATCAAGGCAAACTAAGGGCTGCATCCAGCCCACAGGTTTGAAAAGAAAAAGAAAAAAGCAGCTTTGGGAACAGCAGTGCAGGAAAGCTCTGTCCCAGGCTTGAGCTTGATTGCTCCCACTGGCCAGGATTCAAGACCAATGGGTATGGTGGGGTGCAGTGCACCCCCTGGCAGCTGTGCCAGAGCAGCACCCCAACCCTCCGCCCTCCATCCACACCCTGCACCCCCACCCTGCTTCTGCACCCCACTTCCTGCCCAGACCCCGACCCCCCCAGCCCGCTCCACAGCAGCCCTCTCCCAAACACTGAACCCCTCATTTCTGGCCCCATTCCAGAGTGTAGGAGGCCCCACAAACTCTACTAGCCCCAGGCCTCAGAAGAGTTAATCCAGCCCTGGGAGTAAGTCCTGAGCCTTGACCCGCCAGCAGTGGGTCTGAAGCATAGTTCCTGCTATGCCCAGACCCCGACCCCCCCAGCCCGCTCCACAGCAGCCCTCTCCCAAACACTGAACCCCTCATTTCTGGCCCCATTCCAGAGTGTAGGAGGCCCCACAAACTCTACTAGCCCCAGGCCTCAGAAGAGTTAATCCAGCCCTGGGAGTAAGTCCTGAGCCTTGACCCGCCAGCAGTGGGTCTGAAGCATAGTTCCTGCTACAAAAATCCTTCCCCCGCCCCCCTCCTCTGGTGGCAGCCTTCCCTGCCTCATGGTATGGGGGAGGAGGGGAAGGGTCCTGCTCCGGTGGCTGGGAACAGGACATGCCACATGGCTGGGGAGGGCGGGAGTTTCTGTTCCAGCAGCCAGGAACATGTGTGCATTAATAAACTGGGCGCCACGGTGGCACACATCCAAACCTGTGCATGCGGCCTCAATATTGGTGCACAAACCAAAACTCATTCTGCTCATGGTTGGAAAATCTTAGAGGGAACACTGGTCTGGAGCTCATGGGAAGTGAGGCGAGTCTCTTCTTTTCTGCTTCTCAGTTGGAAGCCAGATCTGTCAGGTTTATTTTTAATCCTTCTCACGTGGGAGCCAGATCAATGAGGTTTTTGTTGTTTTGTTTTTGCTTTGCTTCTCATTTGTGCCTGCACCCTGACTGATTTTGCTGTGGGCTATGACCCCCAACTCTGTGCCATCACTGAGGGAGACCAGAGGATCTGGCTTCGCAGGACGAGGGAGTGGAGAACCCCAGAGGGCAAATGGAAGAGAGCCCTTTAGCTCGTGCACACCTGATATGTGATCTGGGCTGCCTTCTCTTGCCGACCAAAGGATCACTAATGGTCCCAGAGGGCAAATGGAAGAGAGCCCTTCAGCTCGTGCACACCTGGTATGTGATCTGGGCTGCCTTCTCTTGCTGACCAAAGGATCACTAACGGCATTTTTCTTGAAGGCAAGGTTATGCTCTGACAGAAGTCATTCCCCAGAAAGGTGGAAATGCTGTAGTGAAGTTATATAATCACAGAACAGGAGAGCTGGAAGTGACTTGAGAGGTTACCTAGCCCAGTGTTTCTCAACCAGTGATACCCTTCGGGGTACTCGAGAGAAGTCTGACTACTATTAAGGTGTTGCAATGGCAGAAAAAAAATTGTGTGGGTCTGAAAACTGTAGGTACTGGGCGTACTTATATTTTTGTTGTTGAAAAAAGGGGTACTTTATTTAAAAAAAAAAAAGTTGAAAAACACTGACCTAGCCCAATGCCCAGTGCTGAAGCAGGACTAAGTAAACCTAGACCACCCCAGGCATAGTTTGTCAAATCTGCTCTTTAAAACTTATAGGGATAGAGGTTCCACAACCTGCTTTGGAAACTTAATGTCAAGTGTTTTACAATAACAAGTCCAAAGTATTTTCATTCAGCTCTTCTCATGGGAGGATTTCAATTAGTTAATTGAACATGCTTGTGATAAAGTATTACTATCCCCATTTTACAGCTGGGAGAACTGAGGGACATGAAGCTAAGAAACTTGCTTCAGGTTACACAGCATCTCAGTGGAAGAGCTGGAAAAAGAACCTAGGAGTCCTGGCTCAAAGTGCCTTCTTAAACTAAAAGACACGGTTATTCACAATATAGAGAACATAAGGTTTTCCGCAATCACCTTTGCTGTGTCTGGGTGCAGACCTGGCCCAAAGGTTTAGATCAAACTCAATGCTAACGTTACAGAGCAGCAGTTATCATCTACATTATAGAAATGCCATGGTTCCTCAGAGAGAGAAGCCAAGGTCTCTTGTGTAAATACATCTCATTAATCTCTGTATTAATAATAAATCTCTGTATTAATAATTTTATCATTGACGTTTTTATTTTAACTTGTATCAAGTCCTTTTAGTTTTGTAGTATGTCTTTAGGTTTGCATTAAGTCTTTTTACATACAAATTTTGTATCTTGTAGACTCTGTACCCCCTTTTGCTTAATTGATTGCCCTGTTGAGTGAATGAGGTGTGAAAGGCAAGCACCTCCGGGCACTTGCAACTGTTGGAGAGAAGATGGAAGCCAGATCCAAGAGCAATGAGAAGAACGAGACCTATGAAGTGGGCTCCCTGAAAGAAAACTGGAGATATGGAGGCCTTGGGAGTCAGCAGCAAGTGCCTGCTTTTGGAAGCACCCTCTTTGAAGGTGAATGTGGCAGCATTGAGACACCACCAAGAAGGCGGCACCACAGATGTCTAACTGCATATGCATATGACGACTCTCACAGATTATGCATATGCATGTGATGACTAACTGGTGTAGATCTGCATGAGAGGGAAGATGCTATAAATCTAAGGCATCTTGCAGGGGAACACTGGGTCTCATCTTGTCAACATCAGAGCATTG